GTAGTGGAGAGACTGTGTTATGTGGGTGGACTCTGTGAATGTAAGTGAAGCGAGAGTGAGAGGGAGAGTGATAGAGCGATTCAGAGGGACCTAGCGGGACAGATGGAGAGTGGGAGAAGGAGGTTAACAGTGAGAGAGACAGATTGATGTGAGGTGTGGAGAGGAGGAGGAAATGGAGATAGAATCTGTGACGTGCGAAATTTTGTGTCTATCTGTCAGACTTAGTGTCTCATTATCCGTCCAGCTGGCTACCTGGCTGGCTGGCTGGCTGGCTGTCTCCCTTCCTTCCTGCCTGTCAGTCTGTCTCACTCACTGTCTTACCGTATGATTTCCACATTTTCGGCTAGAAGAATAGACTTGAGGGATTTTGTGATGAGAGAGCAGAAGTCGGTGTCAGTGTCAGTGTAAGTGTCAGTGTTGGAGAGCGACATCTCGCTGAATTGAAATGACCGGCTGACTGACTGTCTGCCTGTCACGCCGACTGCGTGATTGACTGCGTGTCTGTGTGACGGCGTGCACGCTATCTCGTTCACTTCCACCCCACATCGAAAACAAAAACAACCTCCTCCATCGGATTGTCACCACTTCAATTCACAAGTGTCGTATTATCCACGACAATTTCGCATTTCGCTCTCCCTCTCTCTGTCTTCACCGTCATTCTCATTATGTTCATTCTGTCTCGCTTGTACAATAAATAATCCGTGTGATTGTCTGCTTATTCACCATAGATTGATTATCTCTGGCTGATGCAATTTGTTTTTGCCACATATCATCACTATACTAGGTCACTACAGTTCAGAAGACAATGATGATGTGTGGAGAACTTCGGAGATGCCTGTTCGCCATACACAGACAGAGAGGGAAACAGAGTCAAAGAGAAAGACGGAGGCGCAGACGGAGACGGAGACTGAGACAGAGAAAACACAATCATCAGCCTTCCCCAGTACGCATAGCATGTCTTCTGTGACTGGTGAGGTAACAACGCGTCGACCGACTGGTGAGTCTCAACTTCTCATGTTTACTCATCATTGTATTTTGTTGAGCGTTGTTTTGGTGTGTGTGTGTGTGTGTGTGCGTGCGTGTGTGCACAATTCCAGGAGATTATGCATAATAATGCTTGGAAATGCTGATCGACACGGTGGACAGGACACATGGTCAAGTGAAGTGCATCATTGTGCGATATGACGAAGATATTGCTTAAGAGCGGTGTGTAGGTTGGTGGGTCGTTGTGTGGGTTGGTCGCTCCGTGAGTCAGTCAGTTAGTGTTCAGCTCTATACACCACCATACAGCATATCGAAGATCGGTCATCTCACCTGAATGCACATTCAAACAAGGCGTATCTGAATATTCATCACTGATGATGACAATGTGAATTGAATTAGCGCCTGATAATCACTCGTGAGAAATAATCATCCTCCTGGGATTAGCAGCCACATTACATGAAGATGACGAAGAAGAAGAAGAAGAAGTGAGAGAAGAAGAAGACGAGGAAGATGCAGTAGCTGAAGTCGAATGAACTAGAATTGGAAGAAGTGTTAGGAAGAAGCAGTCGAAATGATATTAGTACTAGTATTGTTAATTTGAGTATTGACAGTTTCAGTTGTAATAGTTAGTGTCGAAGGCATTGTTACCAGGAGAGTCAGTAGTAGAAGTAGCAGTAGTAGTATTTGTTAAATGCTTTCTGTTCAAGCGAATGAATGATTCCATGATAAATCATGTGATACGAGCTGTCGGTGACTGTAGTAAGCAGAAATCAATGGCTGACACTAACGCCAACAAGCAGGATGATGTTGACAGTTATCAAGTGAATCGATTCTGTCTGACAGACGAGAATATTGTCGAGCTTGTTAGATTGACAGATTGATCGATTTCCCCGCTGCTCACCATCCGAGACTAGACAAAATCCTAGTGATTGTTGAGTTGCATTGTATGCACAATTGTCAGTGACTGGAAGATTCGTGATTTAGGTGATTAGGTGATGGACGGTGTGAATTGGAGTAGTGGAGAGACTGTGTTATGTGGGTGGACTCTGTGAATGTAAGTGAAGCGAGAGTGAGAGGGAGAGTGATAGAGCGATTCAGAGGGACCTAGCGGGACAGATGGAGAGTGGGAGAAGGAGGTTAACAGTGAGAGAGACAGATTGATGTGAGGTGTGGAGAGGAGGAGGAAATGGAGATAGAATCTGTGACGTGCGAAATTTTGTGTCTATCTGTCAGACTTAGTGTCTCATTATCCGTCCAGCTGGCTACCTGGCTGGCTGGCTGGCTGGCTGTCTCCCTTCCTTCCTGCCTGTCAGTCTGTCTCACTCACTGTCTTACCGTATGATTTCCACATTTTCGGCTAGAAGAATAGACTTGAGGGATTTTGTGATGAGAGAGCAGAAGTCGGTGTCAGTGTCAGTGTAAGTGTCAGTGTTGGAGAGCGACATCTCGCTGAATTGAAATGACCGGCTGACTGACTGTCTGCCTGTCACGCCGACTGCGTGATTGACTGCGTGTCTGTGTGACGGCGTGCACGCTATCTCGTTCACTTCCACCCCACATCGAAAACAAAAACAACCTCCTCCATCGGATTGTCACCACTTCAATTCACAAGTGTCGTATTATCCACGACAATTTCGCATTTCGCTCTCCCTCTCTCTGTCTTCACCGTCATTCTCATTATGTTCATTCTGTCTCGCTTGTACAATAAATAATCCGTGTGATTGTCTGCTTATTCACCATAGATTGATTATCTCTGGCTGATGCAATTTGTTTTTGCCACATATCATCACTATACTAGGTCACTACAGTTCAGAAGACAATGATGATGTGTGGAGAACTTCGGAGATGCCTGTTCGCCATACACAGACAGAGAGGGAAACAGAGTCAAAGAGAAAGACGGAGGCGCAGACGGAGACGGAGACTGAGACAGAGAAAACACAATCATCAGCCTTCCCCAGTACGCATAGCATGTCTTCTGTGACTGGTGAGGTAACAACGCGTCGACCGACTGGTGAGTCTCAACTTCTCATGTTTACTCATCATTGTATTTTGTTGAGCGTTGTTTTGGTGTGTGTGTGTGTGTGTGTGCGTGCGTGTGTGCACAATTCCAGGAGATTATGCATAATAATGCTTGGAAATGCTGATCGACACGGTGGACAGGACACATGGTCAAGTGAAGTGCATCATTGTGCGATATGACGAAGATATTGCTTAAGAGCGGTGTGTAGGTTGGTGGGTCGTTGTGTGGGTTGGTCGCTCCGTGAGTCAGTCAGTTAGTGTTCAGCTCTATACACCACCATACAGCATATCGAAGATCGGTCATCTCACCTGAATGCACATTCAAACAAGGCGTATCTGAATATTCATCACTGATGATGACAATGTGAATTGAATTAGCGCCTGATAATCACTCGTGAGAAATAATCATCCTCCTGGGATTAGCAGCCACATTACATGAAGATGACGAAGAAGAAGAAGAAGAAGTGAGAGAAGAAGAAGACGAGGAAGATGCAGTAGCTGAAGTCGAATGAACTAGAATTGGAAGAAGTGTTAGGAAGAAGCAGTCGAAATGATATTAGTACTAGTATTGTTAATTTGAGTATTGACAGTTTCAGTTGTAATAGTTAGTGTCGAAGGCATTGTTACCAGGAGAGTCAGTAGTAGAAGTAGCAGTAGTAGTATTTGTTAAATGCTTTCTGTTCAAGCGAATGAATGATTCCATGATAAATCATGTGATACGAGCTGTCGGTGACTGTAGTAAGCAGAAATCAATGGCTGACACTAACGCCAACAAGCAGGATGATGTTGACAGTTATCAAGTGAATCGATTCTGTCTGACAGACGAGAATATTGTCGAGCTTGTTAGATTGACAGATTGATCGATTTCCCCGCTGCTCACCATCCGAGACTAGACAAAATCCTAGTGATTGTTGAGTTGCATTGTATGCACAATTGTCAGTGACTGGAAGATTCGTGATTTAGGTGATTAGGTGATGGACGGTGTGAATTGGAGTAGTGGAGAGACTGTGTTATGTGGGTGGACTTTGTGATTTCAAGTTAAGTGTTAGTGAGAGAGAGGCATAATGAGACCTATGGGGTGTGATAGTTGGAGGCTAACAGCGAGAGTGTCAGATTGATGTGAGGTGTGAATGGGAGAAGGAAATTCCGATGGATCTGTGAGTTCAGATTCTTTTGTCTGTCTAGTGGATATATTTGGGGACTTATTGTCCTTGTAGATGGCCGTCTGCCAGGCTGGCTGCGTGTCTGAGTAACTGGGTGTCTGCCTATTTGTCTGTATCTCTCTCACGCTCTCTCTGTGTATGAGTTCCACATTTTCAGTTAGATTATGAGACTTGAGGTATTTGTGATGAGACAACAATTGTGAGTGTCAGTGTCTGAGAACGATTTTTCGCTGAAATGAAACGACTGGCTGAATGTCTGTCACATCGATTGCGTGCGTGGATGACGACATGCATTCCATCTCGGCCACATTCAACCCCACACCCACATCCAAACCAGAACAATCTCCTACATCGGATTGTCACCAATTCAATTCCAAAGTGTTATATAATCCACGACAATTTCGCATTCCGCTCTCCCTCTCTCTTCACCGTCATTCTGATCATGTTCATTCTGTCTCCCTTGTACAATAAATAATCCGTGTGTTTGTCTGCCTATTCACCATTGATTGATTATCTCTGGCTGATGCAATTTGTTTCTGCCACATATCGTCACTATATTTGGCGTCTACTGGTGGGAGGGCAATTTTCAACGAATTGACGGTAATTTCCTTTTATTTTCGGTCACTCTACAAATCGATAGTTACTACGTTAGTTTATCGGCATTACCTCGAATGCCCTAAAACCAATAATATCTATTTGTTTTCGGCATTTAAATTGTATTTTTCATACAGAAATCTATAATCAAATTTTTTTTCAAGTAATGTCCTCTACTTTTATTCGTATTGTTTCGTCTTCTTTCAACTTGTACACGATTCAATCATTCGCGGTATCAAGTTGTGCGATTTAAGATACCAATAGGAAAGACGGATGATGGAATTATCATATACAAGGACTACTATCCTGAAATGCCTATTCCTTGGATGATGTCTCTTTGTCATACACGGAGTCAGACTGAGACGTTGACGGAGACGGTGACAGAGACAGAGAACAAACAATCTTCAGCCTTCCCCAGTACGCATAGCATGTCTACTGTGACTAGCGGAAAAACAACGAGTCGACCGACTGGTGAGTCTCAACTTCTCATGTTTACTCATCATTGTATTTTGTTGAGCGTTGTTCTGGTGTGTGTGTGTGTGTGTGCGTGCGTGTGTGCATAATTCCAGGAGATTATGCATAATAATGCTTGGGAATGCTGATCGATACGATGGACAGGACACATGGTCGAGTGAAGTGGCGAATTGTGCGACATGACGAAGATATAGGTAAACAGCGGTTTTTGGGTGGGTGGGACGGTGTGTTGGTTGGTCACTCTGTGAGTCAGGCAGGCAGTCACTCATTCAGTCATGCAGTGTTCAGTTTTCAACAAGAGCAGACAGCATTTCGTCGATCGGTCGCTTACCCGAATGCACAATCACAAACTAGGCGAATCTGAATATTCCTCACTGAGGATGACAATGTGAATTGAATTACCGCCTGATAATCACTCGTGGGAAACAATAATCGTCGTGAGATTAGCAGTAATATTAGATGATGTTGACATCGAATTAGCAAGGGACGATAAAGAAGCAGTAGACTAAGTAGAAAGTTGTAGAATTGGAAGAAGTGTAAGCAAGAAGCAGTCTCGATGATAGTAGCGCTAGTTTTGTTATTTTGAGTAGTGATAGTTTCAGTTGTAATAGTTAGTGTCGAAGGCTTTGTCTCCTGGAATGGAAATTTCCATCACTCCGAAGTGCTTAATTTTTTCAATCTTATGGATGCAGTTGATTGTTGCATAGTTCAGGGCTTTCAGTCTTCAATATGAACTACTGTTTACAAAGTATATTTTACAAATCTTTCGAGGAATTTCATCTGTCCTGAATGTTAATGTACCAGCCAGTCGTTTCACTGAAATATGTGAACCAAATCGGATTATCCGTCAGTTTTCCGAAAGATTTTTCCCCCAAGTACATTGTGTATTATTTCAACATGGATGATGTCATTGTAAACTGGGTGTGATCAGTAGGAACACAGCAATCAACTCTCAGTGATCACGCATCAGTAGAACAAATCACACTAACGCATACTATTCAGATCACAAAGGGTAGGATTGAATTTTCATCCTATTCACTGATAGTATTCATTCCTCTCTTAATTGGTTGCGTGTTTATTTCATCTTTCGTGTTCAATAAGAAGTGTGAATTGGCATGTTGTCTAATATGACGTTACTGTATAGGCATCCTTATTCATCACTATTTAACTACATTTCATTTCAGAGGGTTTTCAGAACTCCATTGTCGCTTTAGTAATCATCCTTCTGTGATTGAATCAATTGTATCTGCTAGACATATTTTATTCCTCTTCCACTCTCTACTCGAACTCCTTGATTCCGACACTTCATTCTACTTGCTCCACACACACACACTGGTGTGTTTTATATTTCCTAGCCAGAATGATTTAAACTCATCAACGTTTCTCTTCTGTATGTTGCACTCTACGATTAATTTTACCTGCAATCATCGTGGACATCTGAAACTGTATTGAGTGGAGTGTAGTGCGTACAGACTGAGTTCACCTATTGGTTGGCATTGAGAATCCTTGAAACCTGTGGACTACTCGACACATGTTTCCTCCTCATTTCTGCGTCTTCTGCATGACGATCAAGCGACACCATCAGGTGACGAGGCCAGCACCTACAGGTGACCAAATCAATCAATTCGCTGACTATTTCAACTCTGAGACCTATTCACAAGTTCCATCTATTCTAACTCCTCCCGGATCTCACCTCTGATATAACATGGTATTTCAGATAAATCTCGCTTATTGGATTATGTATGTCACTCAACCTACCGGTCTGCACAATCAATACTTCATATTCTGATGATTAGTCTTCCTGATTATTCTTATCATAAGAAGTCTATATTTGCGTTAGGCAAACATTCTGCATGGAGAAATATTTCACAATCAGATTAAGTCTGATTCTACTCAGTCACGTGTTCCTCAGAAATTGAGGCTTCTAACTGCATTGGAAAATGCACTCGTGATAGTTGACATCAGGAGTTCACTTCTTAGGATTGATTTACACAATTGGCTGGATTCAGGAGAAACAAGTCATGTATTGATCAAATTGCCACACTACAGATCATGATTGAACAATGCTTAGAATGTCAGTCACCTCTCTATCTTAACTTCATCGACTTTGTGGAGGCCTTTGATAGCGCAGCGTTTATCGAACGGTCATTCATCCAACAGTTGTACGACTATGGTGCATGACAAGTAATCCACAACGGAAAACTTACGGAAGCCTTCGAAGTGAGGACGGGAGTGAGGCAAGGCTGTCTACTATCGCCAATGATTTTCCTGATTGCAGTAGACTGGATAATGCGACAGGCAACGGGCCGGGCAATGAGGAAACAGGCATAAAATGGACTCACATAAAAAACTGGGAGGATCTGGACTTCGCCGATGGTATATGTCTGATTTCCCACAAATCGGAAGATATGCAAGTGAAAAGCGACAAGCCGGCAGAAGAAGCATCAAAGAGAGGACTTCAGTTGAACATAGAGAAGACAGAAGTGATGAAGATTCCTGGCCAACATCAACAGCAACAGCAACAACAACAGACAACAATCAGCCAGCATAAATGGGAAGAACCCGAAAGAAACAACCTCCTTTACCTACCTGAGAAGCATCGTTTCAACTACAGACAGAACTGACGAGGATATCAAAGCCAGAATCAGAAAAGCAAGACAAGCTCTCATTACTCTTCAGTCTGTGTGGAGGTCAACAGCACTCATCATCAAAAATAAGATCCGGATTTTCAACTCCAATGTAAAGTCAGTGCTACTCACTATACGGATCAGAGACTTCGCCACGGCGTCATAAAGAGCACCTCAAACAAAATCCAGACCTTTATTAACAACTTTCCTCGCTCAATACTCAAGATCAGATGGCCGGCCAGAAAAGATCAGCAACAGGGATCTCTGGCTATGAGCGAACCAACCATGAACCGATTGTGAAACAAAAAGGCAGGAAGATATGGAAATGGATTGGCCATACCCTGAGGAAACCATCAAGTGACATCACTAGGCAAGCCTTCGAGGGGAACCCGAAAAGGAGGCGGCGATTTGTTCGTCAGTGCAAGGGTGACTCGGAGGAGGTCATGTGAAGAGGAGATGAAAGCGTGTGGGCAGACTTGGAGCGGGCTGAAAGAGTTGGCAGAAAACCGAAGGAGACGCGCGGCCGAAGACCTATGTTCCTCTAGGAATTAACGGACAATTTAATAATAATAATAATGTTAGTGGACAGTATACAACTGAAGGTAGTTCGACTCCATTGCTCATATGGAAGGTCAACAAATCGACTAGTTCATGTCAACTGTCGTGAACTAGAATGAAAGATAATTCAATGAGACATTATCCACACTGCATATTTCTCATACTGATTTTGACACCTCCAATGGACGTGGAATATGAAACCTCGAGATGCGAACACATTAGGAATCCTAGCAAAAAAGAAATCGTATTAAATTCTGTTTAGATATTTGCACGCATACCTGCCATACCTGTACGTTCTCTCTCTCTCTCTAAACAAAATGAATGATTCTCAAATTAATTTTCATTATTCTAATTTCTAGATAATTCTACAAGTGATTAACTCGTCGTCGATGCAGAAGATGAAATCCCCAAGACAATATGATTGATGTTTTACACGCTGAAAACAATATCGTCTTCCCCTTTCATCACGAATGATAATCGTACATCTCATAAACTAATGAAAACACTTTTCTCCTAATATCTAACACTTTTACTCATGAATTTTATTTTGCTCTTTGTTTTATTAAGCTAATAATAAATCTATAGTCTGCATATTTTGGCATATCTTTGTTTCTGACAGGGGAGAGATTGATGCTTTATATAGATTGATTCCCCTTAATTATTGAATTTGAATAAAGCAAGAACAAGAGTAGATTTTGCAGAATAACATGATGTTATCATCACTGTTTACTGCGCTGCCCTCTCATCAGCTGCTCACAGGCAACAGCCCACATTAAGTATACCTACAAAAACAGTTTTAACATACCTGCTTGCACAGAGTTCATTTTAAACAAAAATCAATCAATCATTCATTATAGACATCTAGTAATAATTATATATATATGTAATATTAAACGCTATTTCGAACAATAATGATCATACACAATGGAAACTTTTCGGTATTAAGTATTCAGATGAAATAGAGATGGGTAAAAAAAGACTGAAAACTGTTTGTTTCTGATCGCAAAAATCAGGTTTCAGGTGATTGATGGAGATGGCTTCAGAAAACTTCAAGAGAATTGATCACCTTTGCTTATTGATCATTTTGAACGATATTGTGACGTCGACCTGATAACCCGTGTCGACGAGATGTCCATCAATGAAACTTTTGAAAACGTTAGTTTACTTTAGACATAAGCTTTTTGGTCCATGTTCAGAAAAACCTAAATGTGCCCTTCTTCTTTCTTTCAGTTCTTCCTATGTAACTGCTCCCGCAGATACATGTAAATTTGTATATACAGTTGCAGATAACATGAGAAGGATACTTGTCGATTTTTGATTGCATCAAAGAGCAAGTTGTTCAAAAGACAGGGACAAGCTTAGCTGCAGGATACGCTCTGTCTAGTGACGTAGTCAGTCTTCCGTTAACTATTACTGCAATGGTTCCACCTTTATAATCAAGCTGAATGTAGACTGGCTTTTTACCCACTGTGATTCATGTTACTTTTGAGACTTCAGATCTTCCATACTTGATAGTGAATCTTTGAGGGTAACCATTGCTCTTCAACATCTTTTCAGGAAACACAAATTCTTCCTCTAATTTCTCCATAGAGCATATTCTCCTCCTTCTATAATACAGAGTCTTGACTAGTCTGCGTTTAAAGCTCTTTGGACAAAAACGATTAAAATGTTAGTATTGTTCTTTCCAAGTAGGCTTTCGATAAATTGACTTCTGAAGACTACCGTCTTCTGGGCGTTGAATGCCAATGTCGAGGAAATGAAACTTTCTATCACTGTCATGTTCCATTGCAAACTCAATATTGGTATGTGCGTCATTGAATAATCTGAGTAGGTGTGAACAAAATCTATGATGATAAGTTGACAAAATAATGTGCTGTAAATTCCCTCCAACTGGTCAATCTGATGTCTACATATTCATTGCAGTTGAATTGTGCTCATAACTCGTTAGCTTTAAGATGCCAGTTCACGTGTAACCAATCCACACAGAGGAGGTGAGTAAAAGAATGGTACGACCGAGAAAGTGGTGTGTATGCATACAATCGAAATTGGTGCACTCAATCAATAGTGATAATGAATACCTATCAAACACTGTGAGTACGAAGTGGCCAGCTTTTAAGTGACTAACTGATTGACTGACTGACTGACCGACTGACTGCCTCATTGACGGAATGGTTAACCAGATTCGGAATACTCCTCATTCTAAAGATTTAAAGACAGTCGGATTATAAATTCAATCACTGAAATGATGATGCAGTATTCATGTTTTCATTAATATGCTCGTGAATCGCTCGAAAAACCGACCACTGACTGACTGATTGACTGACGACGTTCTATCAACTGTAATGACAATGCACATGCACATTTAGCTGATTCAACTAAACTGAAAGTATCGACAGTTGAAAGTCGGTGATGTTCGGTGAACAGTTGAGCTGCGTAGTTGTCGCCGAAGTATCCGACTGTGAATAGGTGCACTCAGTAACATCACTGGTAACACTGACCGAAGACTGAAATCGAATTCCGATTCTACGTGGATGAAACAGTCCGTCTATTTATATCGCTCTCGCTGAAATACAATTAGATCATTATTTCACTCGCTGCAGGACACATAAAGAGTACACTGTCATACGATACATACGCGCAAATTCAAATCAACACGTAGTCTGTAAAAATTTGAAGAAGCTGTGTGTAGAATTTCAAGTTAAGTAAGACTGAACTACTCATTCCTTTCCTTACTGCCATCAAAACGACACAGTTACCCACACTGCGTATGTAATTGGTCGAACATTGATCACATATCATTGTTACGTTTCCCTGAGCGGCCACAGGGTTGTTCACATTTACTCCTGTATAAGGTATTCTTATTCTTATTTCACCAGAAATTGACTTCAGTCAGTCAAGTTATTCTCCGTAAATTTATTCAGCAGCTCACTCACTAATGGTGACCATTCTAAATGCTTAGTGTGTTTTTTGCGTACCTGAGACAAGCCTGAAAGAGATCCACCATCCGATTTCACTCTGTTTTGATGCAATCCCTCGCAAATAAGGCCAAATGCATGATGTCTTCTTCACTTTCAACACAGTGGAATACAATTTGTATCCCTCTAATCTGAGGGGACCACTAACAAACAGACGATCTAAGCTTCAATGAATGTCTCACAGAAATGTAACCAATTGTGTGACATCAGGTGTCGTATTATTGTTGAAATTAATTAGACTCAATACGACCGGTTGACTTTGCTATTGTGAATAATGACAGAACAAACAGAAACGCAGGATATTATGAGCTCGTTTTGTTCTTCATGCGTTCTCTTCAGATTCTGCGTAGATCGTAGACAAATTCCCGTGTATGCCACAACCATTCTGAGCTAGATTTTCACAATGACTTCGAGTTATACATGGAAAATATAGGCAACATCATTTCAAAGAGAATGTCAGTAGACCATCAGTCTGTGTAACAGAAGAGACTATTTTTATAAATATGAGATGTACGATGAGGTTGAGTGAGGAAAATGCGTGGAAACAAGGATGGACTGGGCATATAATGCAAGATAGAACAACACAGTGAATTCATACACATTATGATGGAGAGTTCAGGAGGCTGGCTGTGAATAGAAAATTAAAATCATGAGAAAGACAAAGCAATTCAGTGGATTAGCAAACATAATTGTCAGTCAAACTAAGTAAGTGAGAATCGAAATCAGAATTAAGTGGAGTTCTCTGCAACACAACAAACCACAGGAGGACACGAACACAACAGTCACGGTTGGCAGGTGAATGAGAGATTAGATGTATCATTCATTGAAAACTTATTACACATATTCTAGCTGACAACTCCACCAACACACAGGAGGGAGTAACTCTCATCTAACCAATCGGTGAAGTGTTACTCATGATAGAATCAGATAACGCCAGTTGGAAGTAATCGCAGATAGTTTATCTGCACACATACGAATTGACATGAAGGGTAGACACAGATGCCTTCTGACTTTGATATTCTATTTAGCCATATGGAATAGGCAGGGGAAATAATCCTTCTAAACTATGCAAGACACAGCAGTTTCAAGCTTCACCTCCGAGCACAAAGTCATCTCCTCATTCGATTCATGTGAATTGAAACAGAACTATGGAGAAATATAAAATCTCCTCACACCAAACTCGCACTTTCACATCACTCCATATGCACATATTGCATTGTTCTTACCCTCAACGTCTCTACTTCAATTTTCTCAATCTTCAGCTGAACTCCATTATTTTACTCAGATGACTCTATTCACCATTGTTAAATCGCATCACTCACTTTCGACAATTCAAGATCACATGATTCGCCCAAACATTTGCTAACTGCATTTCGGCTTTCAGACTGTTATGTATAAACGCAGAATATTACATCTGTTGCAGGATCTGACCACGTGGATTACGATGAAATCTCAATGACTATCGGAGTGCTGTTGTTTTGAAGACTTTGGCATATTTTATGATCCACGACTGATAAATGTGGAATGGAATGATTCAGGATCAACAACTACTCATCTGTTATGATGTCACCGCATTCATCTTTAGCAATAACACTGAGACTAGAATAGGGTTACTGAGCCGATAATATTCGCGGTTATTACAGCATATCACTAAGCTTCTCGATCACTGCATATAGGAGGTACCAGTTTCCTCAGATCACACTACTTATGCTGAAACACACAAAGACGTGAGTCGAATCGTGTATTTCTCAATATCCACTCTATAAATATATATAAGGCTGTTGGAGTCGGCATGAGAGATTTCCACTAAACGATGTATCCATGGCGAGTGGTATAGGCGTGCCAGAAAGTGAACATCAAACGATGCATAACCACTGATGGTTTATTTCTAGACTGACCTCAGCCATCGTAGAACGATCAAGGGATAACCCATAGTTTATTTGCCTACATATCATCTGCTCATTTAGAAAAGACTTATTAACTAGGGTTACCATGGATCCTCACTATGTACATTCTTCACATGGCCGACTGATTTCGCGGAAGTCGTCAAGTGTTTACTGGAGAGTCTGCAGCTCTTGTGGCCACTTGTACATCAAAGTGTGAGAAACTGTGCTTTGCTTGAGAAGATGTTTCTGTTAGAAACAGCAGAATTACGGTTGAAATTGTGTTAGTGAAGAACACGGAGCAGCCCTCTTTGATCGTAAAATTGGAGTACTGCCATCTTGACTTAAAGAGTTTTGAAATGCAAACAGTAACTACCTTTTAATGAGCATACACTGATTAGGAAGGAAGTCTGTTGGCTAGAACCAAATTCGTGTTCAACATAGTGTCAGTCTTCGCACCCGTGCAGCACACGCGCACAAGATTTGACGAAACGCCAAGCATAAGAATGCCAATAGGATGACGGAAGTGTTATATTGCAGCATTGAGTGGTATTGTTTGAGTAACTCACATAATGGACGTTTGAGGTGGGACTAGGATGTGTAACATTGTTAAATATGTTTCGGAAGATCTGGTGGACCACACTGGCTTTTAGGAAAATTTGTCCAAAGTCGGGGAAATCGAAAATCCCTGTTGCAGAATGTTGAGTTGAAAGGAGAACGCTGAGCTATGCGACGACAACAAGAGTAACCAACCATATCACATCTGATACAGCTTCGATTTGTGGTGGATGCACTGCTAAACCACGTCTAAGCACTTCCGAACCCGATGGAGAGGAGGAAGATTGGCAGTTTGGCTAGCAACCCACCCTCAGACCTAATAAAAACGAAATTATCACTAGGAAGACTTGATAGGTCAGTCTGGAAGAACTGTGTTCCAGGCGGAAGTCAAAGGAGAGAAACAAAATCAGTGAGTGAGTGAGTGATATATTCGTTTCAGATCATGAAAGTGATTAGCATGAAGTAGTTTTAAAGCCGCTGATGTAAACATCATTAAAGACAAAAGATGTCGTCATCAAGGAGTCACTTTCCACCTCTGTGATCATAGGTTTTTTTATTACAGCTTGATTCCACACTGTATTTTCGGCAAAAGTATATTATTTTCAGCATGTGATATCGGTAGCCCGAATTTTGCAGACCGACCATAGATATCAAGTGTGCGTCGGCAGAGGATCGAACCTCGGACCACCTGCATGGCCAGCGAGAGTCCTAACCACTGAGCCACCGTCCACCATCCAGTTTTGCAGTACAGTTGGAAATTTCACAGTTATATTCAACAGATATATTGTGCAGGTGAATAATCTGGAATCAGAAGACTAACTCGCAGATGTCAGTTGAAATGTGGTGAAAGCTGTCTGCTAGCCGAAATCGGCAGACAGAAATTTCCGTCAGTCTTTACGTCCAAAATCTTCGTCATGAGAAAAAGAACAAGAACAAAGACTAACTCAACAGTCAATCACAGCGTGGGCGGATACGATTCTCAGGTATATCAACAGACTGTCTATGAAACGCCAACAAAAAGATGATAAAATAACAAATCAGGAGAAGCTGTTACTCTGGTAAAAATAACGAATAATAATTTACATAAAAATCTATGAATATCTGTTGATTATCTCTTGCCTAGCCCTTGACTTCTGTCCCTACAAAAAGACACCCAAAGCATAGTAATGTGTATTGTACTCAGTATACAATTGGTGGATGGTGGCTAGCAGTGGAATCCAGGATAAAGCGCATTTCGTCCTATTTGGGACTCGTCAGCTGGATGTACCTGCATTTCTCAGTGAGTGATGATGTTCCCACCGAGGCTCGAACCCAGTACCCATAGTTTCGAACGCCAAAGCGTTATCCACTAGACCACTTGGGCCACGACAGCCACTTCTTGTGCAATGGGTCATATTAATTATTGAATTGAATTTTTGATTTTCCCGTCGGTCCAATCAATCGACGGGAAAATCAAAAATTCAATTCAATGTATTGTATTCATATTGAAATAAAACGCATTTTATTCACAGTTAAAATTGATGCTTACTGAAATATATTCAACAAACGCTAATCCCCCTTATTTGTTTGCTTTCATAGGAGAAAGTTGTCTTCATAGTCACACGTGTGGAATACGTCAATCTGTATCATACAATGAGTTTAGACCAAGTGTACCATAATTCAGTATCCAGAATAGGGGTTTACAGAAAAAGTTCAAGGCAGAAGACGACGAGATGAACAGATCACATTCTGATTCGAACTGTGCCCATCAGCCGGAATAGTTATCTACACATCGCTAAACTTGTATTGGTTCCATATGGTTATGCAAGTCCCTTGTATGTTGAGTCGAATCCAACTGGAGAAATATTTGTCGACGAATTCAGAAACTTTATCCTTGAAAGCTACCAGTTAACTGACGAGGTGAGTAGATGTCGAAGAACACCCCTGAACCAATCATCACATCCTCACATTCTTCTCATCAGTCGACGTAATTACATTGCCCATCCACGTAATATGAAAGGACATGTCAGTCGAAAAATCAGTAACGAAGAGAAGCTGTTGAGTGAATTAAAACAAATGGGTTTCCGAAATTCAATGCTTATCGATTTAGCTCAATTACCCATGTCTGAACAGATCAAATTAGTTATGAATACGGATATATTAATCGGAATGTATGGTGCTGCATTGACACTGAGTTTATTCCTTCCGAGTACTTCATGTCTTGTTGAATTATTCCCCGGCTTTTGGTTTGGTTCTAATAAACACTTTTCAAAGTTGGCTGAACTACGTGGGATTCAATACATGACTTATCATGGTCTCCCTGAGAGTGATGTGTCATCTGATTCGTCTTACATTCCTGTAGATCAATTCAAGTTGATTGTATTGAAAGCGAGGAGATTATGGAGAATGCAAATGGATAGGAGAACTGTGAATTGTTAAATTATCATGTGTTGATTTTTTCTATTTTCGATAAAGACTTGGTGTTCTTGTCTCTTTCTCTCTCCCTCTCTCACTCTTTCCCTCCTCATTTAACTTTCCATACTTCTAGTTGAACATCTCCTATTGCAACTGGTGATGAACTAATCATTTGTGAACAGTTGACGAGATCTGTTAACTATTTACATGAACATTGAATTGTTTTTGCAAATAGTTTGTGATATGTATCCACATGATATGTGTTTTGTTTTTGACAGTCTGTTATATTTTGCTATGTGTATATGGATCGATATTCCATTATAACTGACATTTTGCTTTTGTCTGTCCACTAACTAAATAAACATGTATGACCTTGTTATCACATGACATAACAACCAATCATGTTAAGACTGTCTATTATTAGATCATGTGTATTAGCCATTTTCATATATACTTTTGTATTAGACACTTGTACATTATTCTGGTTCACACACATTTCGTACATTTGCACCTTTTCACTCACGCACTAGTGTGACATTTATTTTCCTTGTCTGGAAAATATGAGTATCATCGTAAACCTAGTGGTCTTCTGATTTCCCTCGTTCGGCGTCAGGAATATTAACTACTCGACGAGTACATAACATAATTGGCGACGGGGAAAACTCTAATAACTCACTCAGCTGTAGTACTAAACAGTTTGTTAGCAACTAGCGATATCACCTTAGAAAATCATGCACACGTTTCATACACCCGAAAATTCAACAAACTTCAGGTTAACTCTAACAAGATCGTATCATTGGTGATTCGATTATTCCCCGTTTTCTGGTGAATTCATTCACTTCACTTAACAATCCTATTTATTATTATTTATATTATTTTTGTTATGGGTTCCGAGGGGAACATAATGCTTCGAATGCACATTTCCATTTTTTACCGTCCGCTTGAGTCCTACTTTGCTGTCTCGATGACTACCCTCAAGTTTTCATCTCTTCCTTATCACACTAGAATTAACGCTCCAATCGTCGCTTCTCGCACATTCTGTGAACCACTGAAGAAATATGGCGAATAATATTGAGATGAATGCGATACAAGTTGGGTATACTTTCAGGTGACATCACCCATCATGCCATCCCTCGAGTCACACTAGAATGTGCGAGAAGCGACGATTGGAGCGTTAATTCTAGTGTGATAAGGAAGAGATGAAAACTTGAGGGTAGTCATCGAGACAGCAAAGTAGGACTCAAGCGGACGGTAAAAAATGGAAATGTGCATTCGAAGCATTATGCTCCCCTCGGAACCCATAACAAAAATAATATAAATAATAATAAATAGGATTGTTAAGTGAAGTGAATGAATTCACCAGAAAACGGGGAATAATCGAATCACCAATGATACGATCTTGTTAGAGTTAACCTGAAGTTTGTTGAATTTTCGGGTGTATGAAACGTGTGCATGATTTTCTAAGGTGATATCGCTAGATGCTAACAAACTGTTTAGTACTACAGCTGAGTGAGTTAATAGAGTTTTCCCCGTCGCCAATTATGTTATGTACTCGTCGAGTAGTTAATATTCCTGACGCCGAACGAGGGAAATCAGAAGACCACTAGGTTTACGATGATACTTATATTTTCCAGACAAGGAAAATAAATGTCACACTAGTGCGTGAGTGAAAAGGTGCAAATGTACGAAATGTGTGTGAACCAGAATAATGTACAAGTGTCTAATACAAAAGTATATATGAAAATGGCTAATACACATGATCTAATAATAGACAGTCTTAACATGATTGGTTGTTATGTCATGTGATAACAAGGTCATACATGTTTATTTAGTTAGTGGACAGACAAAAGCAAAATGTCAGTTATAATGGAATATCGATCCATATACACATAGCAAAATATAACAGACTGTCAAAAACAAAACACATATCATGTGGATACATATCACAAACTATTTGCAAAAACAATTCAATGTTCATGTAAATAGTTAACAGATCTCGTCAACTGTTCACAAATGATTAGTTCATCACCAGTTGCAATAGGAGATGTTCAACTAGAAGTATGGAAAGTTAAATGAGGAGGGAAAGAGTGAGAGAGGGAGAGAGAAAGAGACAAGAACACCAAGTCTTTATCGAAAATAGAAAAAATCAACACATGATAATTTAACAATTCACAGTTCTCCTATCCATTTGCATTCTCCATAATCTCCTCGCTTTCAATACAATCAACTTGAATTGATCTACAGGAATGTAAGACGAATCAGATGACACATCACTCTCAGGGAGACCATGATAAGTCATGTATTGAATCCCACGTAGTTCAGCCAACTTTGAAAAGTGTTTATTAGAACCAAACCAAAAGCCGGGGAATAATTCAACAAGACATGAAGTACTCGGAAGGAATAAACTCAGTGTCAATGCAGCACCATACATTCCGATTAATATATCCGTATTCATAACTAATTTGATCTGTTCAGACATGGGTAATTGAGCTAAATCGATAAGCATTGAATTTCGGAAACCCATTTGTTTTAATTCACTCAACAGCTTCTCTTCGTTACTGATTTTTCGACTGACATGTCCTTTCATATTACGTGGATGGGCAATGTAATTACGTCGACTGATGAGAAGAATGTGAGGATGTGATGATTGGTTCAGGGGTGTTCTTCGACATCTACTCACCTCGTCAGTTAACTGGTAGCTTTCAAGGATAAAGTTTCTGAATTCGTCGACAAATATTTCTCCAGTTGGATTCGACTCAACATACAAGGGACTTGCATAACCATATGGAACCAATACAAGTTTAGCGATGTGTAGATAACTATTCCGGCTGATGGGCACAGTTCGAATCAGAATGTGATCTGTTCATCTCGTCGTCTTCTGCCTTGAACTTTTTCTGTAAACCCCTATTCTGGATACTGAATTATGGTACACTTGGTCTAAACTCATTGTATGATACAGATTGACGTATTCCACACGTGTGACTATGAAGACAACTTTCTCCTATGAAAGCAAACAAATAAGGGGGATTAGCGTTTGTTGAATATATTTCAGTAAGCATCAATTTTAACTGTGAATAAAATGCGTTTTATTTCAATATGAATACAATACATTGAATTGAATTTTTGATTTTCCCGTCGATTGATTGGACCGACGGGAAAATCAAAAATTCAATTCAATAATTAATATGACCCATTGCACAAGAAGTGGCTGTCGTGGCCCAAGTGGTCTAGTGGATAACGCTTTGGCGTTCGAAACTATGGGTACTGGGTTCGAGCCTCGGTGAGAACATCATCACTCACTGAGAAATGCAGGTACATCCAGCTGACGAGTCCCAAATAGGACGAAATGCGCTTTATCCTGGATTCCACTGCTAGCCACCATCCACCAATTGTATACTGAGTACAATACACATTACTATGCTTTGGGTGTCTTTTTGTAGGGACAGAAGTCAAGGGCTAGGCAAGAGATAATCAACAGATATTCATAGATTTTTATGTAAATTATTATTCGTTATTTTTACCAGAGTAACAGCTTCTCCTGATTTGTTATTTTATCATCTTTTTGTTGGCGTTTCATAGACAGTCTGTTGATATACCTGAGAATCGTATCCGCCCACGCTGTGATTGACTGTTGAGTTAGTCTTTGTTCTTGTTCTTTTTCTCATGACGAAGATTTTGGACGTAAAGACTGACGGAAATTTCTGTCTGCCGATTTCGGCTAGCAGACAGCTTTCACCACATTTCAACTGACATCTGCGAGTTAGTCTTCTGATTCCAGATTATTCACCTGCACAATATATCTGTTGAATATAACTGTGAAATTTCCAACTGTACTGCAAAACTGGATGGTGGACGGTGGCTCAGTGGTTAGGACTCTCGCTGGCCATGCAGGTGGTCCGAGGTTCGATCCTCTGCCGACGCACACTTGATATCTATGGTCGGTCTGCAAAATTCGGGCTACCGATATCACATGCTGAAAATAATATACTTTTGCCGAAAATACAGTGTGGAATCAAGCTGTAATAAAAAAACCTATGATCACAGAGGTGGAAAGTGACTCCTTGATGACGACATCTTTTGTCTTTAATGATGTTTACATCAGCGGCTTTAAAACTACTTCATGCTAATCACTTTCATGATCTGAAACGAATATATCACTCACTCACTCACTGATTTTGTTTCTCTCCTTTGACTTCCGCCTGGAACACAGTTCTTCCAGACTGACCTATCAAGTCTTCCTAGTGATAATTTCGTTTTTATTAGGTCTGAGGGTGGGTTGCTAGCCAAACTGCCAATCTTCCTCCTCTCCATCGGGTTCGGAAGTGCTTAGACGTGGTTTAGCAGTGCATCCACCACAAATCGAAGCTGTATCAGATGTGATATGGTTGGTTACTCTTGTTGTCGTCGCATAGCTCAGCGTTCTCCTTTCAACTCAACATTCTGCAACAGGGATTTTCGATTTCCCCGACTTTGGACAAATTTTCCTAAAAGCCAGTGTGGTCCACCAGATCTTCCGAAACATATTTAACAATGTTACACATCCTAGTCCCACCTCAAACGTCCATTATGTGAGTTACTCAAACAATACCACTCAATGCTGCAATATAACACTTCCGTCATCCTATTGGCATTCTTATGCTTGGCGTTTCGTCAAATCTTGTGCGCGTGTGCTGCACGGGTGCGAAGACTGACACTATGTTGAACACGAATTTGGTTCTAGCCAACAGACTTCCTTCCTAATCAGTGTATGCTCATTAAAAGGTAGTTACTGTTTGCATTTCAAAACTCTTTAAGTCAAGATGGCAGTACTCCAATTTTACGATCAAAGAGGGCTGCTCCGTGTTCTTCACTAACACAATTTCAACCGTAATTCTGCTGTTTCTAACAGAAACATCTTCTCAAGCAAAGCACAGTTTCTCACACTTTGATGTACAAGTGGCCACAAGAGCTGCAGACTCTCCAGTAAACACTTGACGACTTCCGCGAAATCAGTCGGCCATGTGAAGAATGTACATAGTGAGGATCCATGGTAACCCTAGTTAATAAGTCTTTTCTAAATGAGCAGATGATATGTAGGCAAATAAACTATGGGTTATCCCTTGATCGTTCTACGATGGCTGAGGTCAGTCTAGAAATAAACCATCAGTGGTTATGCATCGTTTGATGTTCACTTTCTGGCACGCCTATACCACTCGTACTGGATACATCGTTTAATGGAAATCTCTCATGCCGACTCCAACAGCCTTATATATATTTATAGAGTGGATATTGAGAAATACACGTTACAACTCAGGACTTTGTGTGTTCTAGCATAAGTAGTGTGATCTGAGGAAACTGGTACCTCCTATATGCAGTGATCGAGAAGCTTAGTGATATGCTGTAATAACCGCGAATATTATCGGCTCAGTAACCCTATTCTAGTCTCAGGGTTATTGCTAAAGATGAATGCGGTGACATCATAACAGATGAGTAGTTGTTGATCCTGAATCATTCCATTCCACATTTATCAGTCGTGGATCATAAAATATGCCAAAGTCTTCAAAACAACAGCACTCCGATAGTCATTGAGATTTCATCGTAATCCACGTGGTCAGATCCTGCAACAGATGTAATATTCTGCGTTTATACATAACAGTCTGAAAGCCGAAATGCAGTTAGCAAATGTTTGGGCGAATCATGTGATCTTGAATTGTCGAAAGTGAGTGATGCGATTTAACAATGGTGAATAGAGTCATCTGAGTAAAATAATGGAGTTCAGCTGAAGATTGAGAAAATTGAAGTAGAGACGTTGAGGGTAAGAACAATGCAATATGTGCATATGGAGTGATGTGAAAGTGCAAGTTTGGTGTGAGGAGATTTTGTATTTCTCCATAGTTCTGTTTCAATTCACATGAATCGAAAGAGGAGATGACTTTGTGCTCGGAGGTGAAGCTTGAAACTGCTGTGTCTTGCATAGTTTAGAAGGATTATTTCCCCTGCCTATTCCATATGGCTAAATAGAATATCAAAGTCAGAAGGCATCTGTGTCTACCCTTCATGTCAATTCGTATGTGTGCAGATAAACTATCTGCGATTACTTCCAACTGGCGTTATCTGATTCTATCATGAGTAACACTTCACCGATTAGTTAGCTGAGAGTTACTCCCTCCTGTGTGTTGGTGGAGTTGTCAGCTAGTTTGTGTGTAATAATTTTTCAATGAATGATACATCTAATCTCTCATTCACCTGCCAACCGTGACTGTTGTGTTCGTGTCCTCCTGTGGTTTGTTGTGTTGCAGAGAATTCCACTTAATTCTGATTTTGATTCTCACTCACTCAGTTTGACTGACAATTATGTTTGCTAATCCACTGAATTGCTTTGTCTTTCTCATGATTTTAATTTACTATTCACAGGAAGCCTCCTGAACTCTCCATCGTAATATGTATGAATTCACTGTGTTGTTCTATCTTGTATTATGTGCCCAGTCCATCCTTGTTTCCACGCATTATCCTCACTCAACCTCATAGTACATCTCATATTTATAAAAATAGTCACTTCTGTTACACAGACTGATGGTCTACTGACATTCTCTTTGAAATGATGTTGCCTATATTTTCCATGTATAACTCGAAGTCATTGTGAAAATCTAGCTCAGAATGGTTGTGGCATACACGGGAATTTGTCTACGATCTACGCAGAATCTGAAGAGAATGCATGAAGAACAAAACGAGCTCATAATATCCTGCGTTTCTGTTGGTTCTGTCATTATTCACAATAGCAAAGTCAACCGGTCGTATTGAGTCTAATTAATTTCAACAATAATACGACACCTGATGTCACACAATTGGCTACATTTCTGTGAGACATTCATTGAAGCCTTGATCGTCTGTTTGTTAGTGGTCCCCTCAGATTAGAGGGATACAATTTGTATTCCACTGTGTTGAAAGTGAAGAAGACATCATGCATTTGGCCTTATTTGCGAGGGACTGCATCAAAACAGAGTGAAAAGGGATGGTGGATCTCTTTCAGGCTTGTCTCAGGTACGCAAAAAACACACTAAGCATTTAGAATGGTCGCCATTAGTGAGTGAGCTGCTGAATAAATTTACGGAGAATAACTTGACTGACTGAAGTCAATTTCTGGTGAAATAAGAATAAGAATACCTTATACAGGAGTAAATGTGAACAACCCTGTGGCCGCTCAGGGAAACGTAACAATGATATGTGATCAATGTTCGACCAATTACATACGCAGTGTGGGTAACTGTGTCGTTTTGATGGCGGTAAGGAAAGGAATGAGTAGTTCAGTCTTACTTAACTTGAAATTCTACACACAGCTTTCTCGAATTTTTACAGACTACGTGTTGATTTGAATTTGCGCGTATGTATCGTATGACAGTGTACTCTTTATGTATCCTGCACCGAGTGAAATAATGATCTAATTGTATTTCAGCGAGAGCGATATAAATAGACGGACTGTTTCATCCATGTAGAATCGGAATTCGATTTCAGTCTTCGGTCAATGTTACCAGTTATGTGACTGAGTGCACCTATTCACAGTCGGATACTTCGGCGACAACTACGCAGCTCAACTGTTCACCGAACATC